CTGTCAAATATATGCATGTTACATTAATAATGAAGTGTGCCATAGGCGTGAATGTGAGCATTAACAGCTGTCTGTCTCTCTGTGTTAGCTCTGCAATAGACTGAAAACCTGTTCATGCACCCTGCCTCTCGCCCCATCACAGCTGGGAGAGGCCCAACCTGGATTGGATCAATTGAAGAAAACAGTTGGATGGTTTCAAACGCTGATATCATCTCAGTCACAGCCAGTCAGATATTTCAATAGTTTCCCTCTAAAATTAAAGACTTTTTCTACAACTTGTTCTTAGCACTGTTGACACCAGCCTTGTATGCATTAAACCTTTTTTCAACTGTCATATAAACAGCCCTGTACAAACACTCATTCTGCAATCCACTTATGGCACTTTTAGGCAAAGCACACAACTGGCTTTTAGGATTACTCCCATTTTAAGACAATAAATTGACATTTTAAGCCCTTTATCTACAAACTTTGCACTGAGCGGAGTAGTTTGGAGACCCGACCAGTTCTTAAAGCACTTTTCTAAATGATGCAGTTGTTAATTTTACATATTCAACCAAAACAACTAATTACCCAGTGATCACTGGGTTATTAGAGCACTACTATTTAAATCTGAAAACTTATACACTCTAAAATCACACATCCTTAATGCTAAACATGTGTGATGCCCTCCTGCCATCACATCCTGGGGCTGCTAACTTCACTTTAAGTAACGTAGCATTATTCTGGCTCTTTCATACCTTCTTCTGTTTCTTGCCCAGCAGGCTGAGCTCCAGGTTGATGTGGTTGAACTCCCTGGTGAGCTTGCCACGGGGGCCTTTGACAGTCACAGTTCGGCCCTTCAGCCTCACCTCGACTGCCGCACAACAAGCACAAATATAAAAAAGAAAGGTTAGAAGCTACTCTACAGACAGGACATAAATACATCTGTGTGGAAAACTGATTTTCCCCTTACCATTGTCGGGGAGGTCGACAGTTTGGCTGCTGAGAATGGTCTTCATTCTGTAAAGAGACAAAATGCGTGTTTTCAACTCTGAAAAGTTTGACTGGCTCTGAGATTCAGGCTAAAGCGTGTATGCCTTTATATCTGTGATATTAAGAGCTCCACGATGACTGTTTACTAAAGTTCGGACTGTGAGATACAGCCACACCACACTGGTGTCAGCAAGCTTTAGCTACAATGCTAACAGAAGTAAGCATTAGATAGCCGACCAGCTCCTTTCATGAGATACCGATACAGTAAAAACGTTAGAAGCTGTTAAATAACACCTGGAGCCGCACAAACGCCATGTTTAATATGAGCATTGTTAAATCCGCTGCGGGCCTCAGCGCGTACAGAGCGCCAGGCCTCAAGCATCAAACCTGCTTAAAACTAAGATCATACATCCCGACAGAGCTAAAGTAGGCTACAAATACAGATTATGGTGAGAAGTGTAACATATTCTCAGTGTGATGGCTCAAAATTGAGCGAAATATAGGTTTAAGAGTCATAGATGTAGTTAGATGAAAGTAAGGCAACAATTTTTCGGTTATCCTCACCTCGCCGGTAGCAGAGGAAAGGAGGAAAGGACGACGTCACCACGCAATTGTACGTACCACCAGCAGGCATTACCAGACGATCGAGGAGCGCATATTTTGGATGTAAATATTTGGACAGAGGTGTCGCAAACCACCAAAAAGATTTCAAAAGTTAAGGAGCAGCGTTTTTTGTTGTTATTTTTTACTGCAAGCTTTTCAAACATTTTATTTAGCTTTGCTGCATTTGAGTTGCATCGTACAGTCTACATTCAGCACTCCCAGAGACGCGTTCACTGTCACTTCGCTGCAAAGGAATTTCAACATTATAACTGATGGGCGATTTCGCTTACTTAAGTATTGTATAATATTGAGTATTGTCTCTCAATTTGAATCTGATTCAATTTGTTAAATAGTATTTAAACATGTTTTCATGTAAGTCCCTTTCAAATTATCATCATTAATGGCCATCTTTCAATCCATCTGTTGCCTTATTTTGTTTTAGAAATTTTTTAATGCTGCCATAATGTTATGTTCCAGCTCGTCTAGTCTTCATTTTAAAATATATCTATAAACCCATTAAGTTCGTAAAAAAATCACCTACGTTGAAATTTTAGCTCAATTTTTTTTAGAATACTTTCCAATTCTGTCCGCTTCACGTGAAGCACCAGACGAAAGCAATCATTCGCCGAGGTGCTATCCCAACGTTAACCGCCTGCTAGCCAAAGTCATGGCGCTACTCAAGCAAAGTTGTTGCGTAGCGGGTCGTTTCTCCACAAACCACCTGTGGCTGAGTCCCAGATGCATCCCACACGTGAGTAGTTAAATTCACAACTCAGTCTAACAAACTTTGGTTCGGATAGTCTTATTTACGGCTCCAGCCGGTGAAAAAATCTGACTTCGGGCTTCCCAGCTGGGTCTGTCAGGAGGCCTCTGATAGATTGTATGTGTCTAAGCGAATATGTAGTTTAGTAGCCGGAGTCGTGACCACCTTGTTAGTGTGAATTGACGTGTATAGAAACACAGAGAAGCTCCTGAACTAATCGTCAGTGTTGCTCTGCAGGTTTATACCAGCTGCTTATCAACCAGAGCCTCCCCGGAGAGAAGTGACAGAAAGAAGGAGCTGCTCAGAGACGACGGGCCTGACCTGCAAGACTTTATTTCAGGGGAATTATCTGAAAAAAACAAGTGGGCTGAGTACAAAGGCACGCTGAAGAGACAGAAGGGAGAGAGGTGAGGCTTTAGGGCCCGGGGAGCTTGAGCTTAGGTTTGAGTCCATGTTAAGATGCTGGCATGTCTGAGTTTTAAACTCATGATCCCTGACAAAAATAAACAGACTGCATTTCACTTGTAGCAGCTGTTGGATTGTTCTACAGGTCACTATCATTTAGTATAGAAATCAGCATCTGCACGTTTATTTTGTTCTGTTAATGCACACAAACAGAAGCTGAGTCTCTGAGTCCAAAACTTCATTACAAACACTGCTATAAGCAATGCTGCTAAAGCTTCAGTAAAAGCTAGTCAAAATGTTTACATTAAACATTCAAATGGAAAAATGGATTTCAGAGGAAATATAAAAGTGTTTGTTGGATAATTAGTTGTTGGCCTGCTCAGCTCTACCATAAAAGTGCAGACACATGCTATAGAGAACAGTTCAACACCATAATGAGCATTAAAAGCGAAGTCGACACATGCACAAAGTGACGGGCGCTTGGTTAGCGCCCTGCAGCCAGTCACAAAAGATGCAAGTGAAGTTGAGATGGATTTAAGAAAACAACTGTTTAGTAGCAAAACGCATCCAAATGCATGCAGGATTTTTCATCATAGAGCTCAAAATACAGATGAGGACAAAGTTATTACATGTAGGGGCATCAGGCAGACCTGAGAGCCTGCCACTAATTCTCAATGAGCTCTTCCCCACACTGCAGGCTCTGACCTAGCAGGTTTCTTTATTATCAGTAAACATTTTTTAGCAGTATTTAGACACAGATACTTAGAGATGAGAGCACTGTTAGACACCGAGCTGTCTGCTGTTGTTCCTGTCAGGCTGCGGCTTCCTCCATGGTTGAAGACTGAGATCCCCATTGGAAAGAATTACAACAGGCTGAAGAACACACTGAGAGATCTCAACCTTCACACGGTAAGTTTTACGTCTGTAAGTTGTCAGGCAGCCCAGCTGCTTTTTGGCTGCTGTTAGAGAAATGTTTTAGGTGCAACTAATGTGATCTTTGAAGGTCTCCGCTGATTCGCCTTCACACTGCTGTAGCACTGACGCACTTATCAAAATATTGCAGTTTCTCAGCTCGCTGAACTCCCATGCTGTCTCACTGAACGGCACATGCTACGTTTTTGACTATTCAACCTTCAACAGAAAGGCTGAAAAATGTTTGATAAGATAAGAAAGAAATTTTGAAATTCTTGTGTAACAGCAGCCAAAACATTAAACAGCCCATGAAAACAGTTTAAATGCAGTAGGATAGCTCAAAAAATTCCAAAGCTTCCAGCACCCAGTTTGGATTTGGGAGGCAGAAACCCTTTCTACTTTTTAAGATTAGACTTAAAACATTCAAATCACTCACCTTTCCACTCTCTGTGTGTTTGTACACCTCTTTGCATTTAATTATTAGTTATTATTAATCCTACCCCTATCCAATCACAGTAAATGGCTGCCCCTTCATGAGCCTGGTTCTGCTGGAGGTTTCTTCCTGTTGAAGTGTTTTTTGTGTTGTTGTTGTTTTTTTTGTTTGTTTGTTTTTTTGCCTTCCCACTGTCACAAAGTCCTATCTCATAGGGGGTCATCTGGTTTTGGAGTTCTTTCTAATATTGTTGGGTCTTTACCATACAATATAAAGCATCTTGAGGTGACTGTTGTTGGGATTTATAAATAATCTGTCTGTTATCTCAGGTGTGTGAGGAGGCCAGGTGTCCGAACATCGGGGAATGCTGGGGAGGAGGAGAGTACGCCACAGCCACAGCCACCATCATGGTGAGTCTCTGCTGCTCTCTGAATTTACTTCCAGTTTTTGAAGAGGGCAAAGAAGCACTTTAATCTGTAGTTTGTGTTTAACTGTCTGACTAAACTAATGCTTGCAGTAAGTACAGAGGTCAGTCTCGTATTGACTGATTGGACATAGATGTGTAATATTCACCATCTGTTCTTTTATGAACTGGCGCTGCCGTATCAGTGTTTTGTATTTGTCTGGATTCTTTGTTCTATTTCAGCGAGATAATATGTTTGTGTGTGTAGCTGATGGGAGACACATGCACCCGTGGGTGCAGGTTTTGCTCAGTAAAGACAGCACGTCAGCCTCCGCCTCTTGACCCTGACGAGCCGTACAACACAGCCAAAGCCATCGCCGCCTGGGGACTGGATTACGTGGTCCTCACCTCGGTCGACAGAGACGGTACTAGTTTCTTACCTGACTGTATCTGCATGAGTCTCTTGCTGTTGTGCATCAGCAAGAATTACATGAGTGACGATCAACTGCATTGCAATAAAGGCACATTTGTAGAATTTAATAACATAAAGCTGTAAAGAAATCAGACTGTTCTGGTTTTAACTTTCAGTTTACAAATACAAAAATGTCCACAAATTAAAGATAAAATTCAAGGCATTTTCAAAATATTATATATATATATATATTATATTTTTCTTCTCTCTGTATTTTTGTGCAGATATTGCTGATGGTGGAGCGGAGCACTTTGCTAAGACGGTTACTAACCTGAAAGAAAGGTAAACACGACTCCGCCCCTTTTGGATTTATTACATTATCTGAATGTTTTTGTAAAAGCAACTTTGATCCTGCCTGCTAGAAATCCTCAGATCCTGGTTGAATGCCTGACTCCTGATTTCCGTGGAGACCTGGCAGCGGTGGAAAAGATCGCCCTGTCAGGATTAGACGTGTACGCCCACAATGTGGAAACAGTGCGCGAGCTACAAAGGTATTGAGGGATTTTTAATAGACTGTAAGTCCTCAGAGTCAAAATCTGAGCATCTAATTTCTAGTTCTGCCATTAGAAAGCTTAAATTCATGGTCATAAACACACATTATAAAGCAGGCTCGTGTGAAGTATTGTTAAAGTTAATAAAAAACATGCAAGGTCGTTACACTGCAGTAACACATGTTGACCAGCAGGTGGTGCAGCAGAGACATTTCTCAGATGCACAGTGATGTTTGTGGTGTATTTACAGGCATGTACGTGATCCCAGAGCAAACTTTGATCAGTCTCTGAGTGTCCTGAAGCACGCTAAGAAGGTCAAACCGACGGTGCTCACCAAGACCTCCATCATGCTGGGGCTCGGAGAGACTGACCAACAGATCATCAGCACTATGACGGGTGTGTAGTCCGCTGTCTCACGCACACACACATTATAAAAAAATCAGATAAACGCTACAGTTTTCTGACAGGATGTCATTACAGAGTTGCGAGAGGCAGAAGTGGACTGTCTAACACTCGGGCAGTACATGCAGCCGACCAAACGCCACCTAAAGGTAAACACTCCTACTGCTGTGCTGCTGGCTACAGACACATTCACTCTGACTGTGTGTGTGTGTGTTTGGGATTTAGGTGGAGGAATATGTCACTCCAGAGAGGTTTGCCCACTGGGAGAAAGTTGGCAGTGATATGGGCTTCACCTACACAGCCAGCGGACCACTGGTGCGATCCTCCTACAAAGCAGGTGAGAAGTGATGTTAATAAATGTTTATTAGTATTTTTTGGATATATTAATATTCAACATGTGCAGCCAGTGTGCAAAGAATATTCAATCTCTATATGAAATCATTTTAGTTACATATTTTCAACTTTGCACCTCTGGAAACATATTATAGACTTTGTCAGATAAACATTGCATTATTTTTTTTTAAAGAGACGATCAGGTGGGGAAAAGAGTGCCTAATGAAGTGCACAAATCATCCTCATGACTGTCCAAAGCCAACTAAGCCAAAAACATTCAAATAAAAGTGGAGATATTAGGTCAGAGATAAAAAATAAAAACAAAACACTGTGATCAGGGATATCAACTATAAGCATAATTATATGATTACAAAAACAAAAGAGAGACAGTTAATTTGTTTCTGTTAAGAAGAGAAATCATATGTTATTAAACGTCGAGACTAAAGGAAAATCGAAGAATCTGACAAAGGTCACATAAGAGCCTAAAAACCATTTGTGTGGACTGGCTTTGCATTTTCAGACAAATTCAGCAGTAAAACTTGGGCCAAATCACTCAATAAAAATTAGATCAATTCAAGTGGTGGAAATGAGCTTCCTCTGAAGGGCAGGTGGGCTCCCCCTCAGAGACAGGAATGTAGAGCTCAGTCATTTGGAAGGGAATCGGTGTGGAGCTGCTACTCCTCCTCCTCCTAAATGAGGTATTTTAGGTATGTCCTATTTAGAGGAGGACCTGGGGCAGACCCCACAGTAGCCTGAAGAGGTTATCTCTCTCAGGTGTATTGGGAATGCTTCAGGGTCCCCCATGGAAGAACTGGGATAAGTGGGCAGGGAAAGTAGGTTTGGGGATCTCCGCTTAGACTGCTGCTCCTGTGAACGGGACAAGAAGCAGTGGATGGATGAATTCAGTGCATTTCTTCTTCTTTTTCTTCACAGGCGAATTCTTCTTAAAGAATCTACTGAAGAAGAGGGAAGCAGAAGCAGCAGAATGAGGAGCCTGCTGTGTGCGTTCAACTGTACGCAGTGACTAAATACGCTTCGTCCGTCTGTAACGTAATGCACCGATTTAAAGTAAAGCACAGGAAACATGTTTAATATTAGTACAATGTTTGTGAGAGGCATTAAATAAAGCTACAGAAGTGACAATAACAGACTTGTAAGTACAGGGACCAGACTCTAACTGCTGCTGTGTTCCCTGAGAAAAAGCCAGAGGGCTGTATTTTAAAGAGACTATCAAAGAACAAACAGCAGACACGTTGGATAACCCGAGTGTCCACCAACTCGCCCAGCTGTCAGAAGCAGAGGCTGTAATTTGCTTCCGCTCCTTGGGAATTCCTAAATCCCATCCCTCGTCTCAGTGAACTTTGGGTTTAAAAAAAAAAGCTACTGACGTTTAACAGTGGGCTCTGTTCAGAATCACCTTGTTGTGGAAGTTTTCGATTAAATAAAGCCTGCAGACGAGCAGTGAGCGGTAGCTGACATTCTTTAATCAAAACACAAAGAAACAGACAACCAAGTTGGTGGAGAGCCTGCACGACTGCGGGGAAGATGGTCAGCCGAGTCTCCCTGAGCCTAACATGGCTCTCAGTTAAATACCTTCTTCAGCAACAAAAGGCAGTACACAGCTGTTTCACACCTTAAGGTTCACACTCCCTTGCTACCTCCCAGAGTCCTCAAAGAGACAAAAGACTCTTCCTGTGGAGTTGTCTGCTTCCCCCAACTTCCTTACTAGACCCCCACCATTTGTCTTACTGTACGAGTGTGAGACGTTAAAATCCAGTGGCACCAAGGCATCATACAATAAAATAATGTGATTAATACATAAGTAAAAGAAATTCCTATACAGTCTTCATGTCTGCTTCTTTAGAACTGATTTAATGAAGCGGGATCCTTTTTTTTTTTTTGTTTTTGATCAGTCTCGTGATACAAAAACAAGAAGCACCATCCATCCTGTACAGTGTGTAAGAAAGGTACAAAGCAAGGGCAATTAGCCTCCCAGCAGGTAAACGAGTGGCAAAACATTTTATTTGATACCCGTGTATTTGCTGAACAGCCAATTTGGAAGAAAGTGCACTTTTTCTGGAGTAAAACAGTTTAAATGTCACAGCTGGACAAGAAAGATGTTTGTGTTGCACACCGATCAGTTCAAACGTACATTGATATTTATAGAAATAAGTCTTAAAGGTCACATTTTTGCGCTGTGTCATTTCTTAATTATTTTTTTTATTACTTTTGAAACAGACAAAATAACAGAAATTAATTTACTTGCATTGGCCCTTTTGAGTAAACAGCCACAGATATTGAGGACAGACTAACATACAGTAGATTTATAAAAAAATACTATAAGTATAAAATTTGTGATTTAGAACAATAGTTGATTGTACAGTAAATATAATACTCAGGCTGATAGTGTTCATCAGAAATCAGTCCAACAGGTGTACCTGACATGTGAAATGTATAAAACTAACCACATATGGAATGCTTTACTCAAAAACAAAAAATAATCATTCACAAATTTTGGATTCAAGGATCAGCAGCTCTCATCCCATCTCCCCCACACACACTGTTCATCGGGCATGATACAGCATCTGAGGGAGAAGGATCTGGATTGTTTCACCAGCTACAGGGGGAAAAGGCTAGGAGGAAACTGCTGCATGTTGAGTGATGAAGAAATGAGTTTCAGACTTTTGCTTTGCTGGTGGGAACGTCGCTGGCAGTGATTCGAGGACCAGCAGCTGCTGGAGTGTAGGGGATTCGTGCCGGTGTCACCTTTTTACCGATGGTCTCGATCTGCAGACAGGAAAACAAACAAACAAAAAAAACAACTTAAATACTTTCTTTGTTCACACAGAACAGGATTTTTACATGATGAAGGGGTTGGAACTTCTTCTTTTTTTTGTAAATCTTACCTGGAAGCCGAGGCTCTGGAGATGAGGGTGAAGGTGGTCCAGCACTCTGCGGCCATCAAACATGAAAGCCGGCTTCAGCATGTTCTTGTAAATCTTATCGTAGTCCAGTTCCTGTGGTGGGATTAAGCAGATATGACTATTAAAATGTTTTCTCACATATTCCTCAAATACGAAGCATTTAAAAAATAAAAGTAGTAGTAAAATGTAACTGGGACCTTAAACATGTCCCACTCTGTGCAGATGACCAATGCATGAGCGCTCTGGCAAGCCTCATAAGGGTCTGATGTCACAGTCACCAACTCAGACACTAAAAATGAAGAACAGTTAAAACAAGTTAGTGTTAGTGAGTGCTGCTTTAGTTACTGATAAAGCAACTGAAAGTTACTGAGATCTTAGTGGCATCTAAGAGAAGCAATATCTAATGTGGTTCTCTCTGCTATAGCTGCCACACCCGCCTGCTCTTCACGCCTGCTGTTTGTGAGGGACAGCCAATCAGAAGAGAGGAAAGACTAAAACACTTTGTGCACCAAGGCCCAGTAAAAGCCAAACAATGATCATTATGACATGTGAATTGTACCAAAGTTCAAGAATGAAAATATGGAGCAGGAATGGAGCAAAAACAGGCGATGTTTAAGAAGTTTAGTCGCTTCTGACATGGTGTGTCCCCATCCTATCTTAGGTTCTCTTGAAAATATCATTTACACCCACCCAAAGATAACATGGGTGGGTGTAGAGGACATGATATACTTTGTTGGCTTAAATTCTCCCCAACAGACGATTTGAACTATTACAGCACAGTCAGAGTTACAGTTTTATAAATCTTATTAAATACATCCTGGAATTCTGGTTTATTTTCAAGTCCTATCAGATTTTATTATCAGTAAAGGAGTAGTCATTTAATAGTTTTAATCTTAAAGCGTTTGATTATAACATCATTACCTCTGTAAAGTGTCAAGCTCGAGTCTGTAACCAGTTTGCTTAGCAATGCCCTGTACAAAGGTAACACCACCCACAGAGCAGCATCTCTATAGCTCACTTATCACCACATTACAGTCGTGTTTATTTAAGCTGTTTGCAGCCAGGTACTGAAGTGAGCTGAAGGTGTCTTTACACTAAACCACCTGGTTCACTCATACAGACATGAAGTAAATCAGGGTGTTGACAAAAATAAACTACACAATGAGTTTTTCAGTACTGCACTGGAAACTGCAACCTTAGTAAACACAAATGTATTGAAGCGCACGCACACCTCTCTCTGGGTTGTCCTCGGAGATGCTGGGCTGGGAGAGGTCGTGAATGATTTGCTCTTTAAGGACTTTGGGGTCATAGATGAACAGCTTGGCGCCCTCATCCATCAGGTACTTAGAAATGTAGATACTGGACGACTCCCTGGAGTTACACAACACACGTGCACACACGAACACCTTGATGTCAGCTCCGATCGAGGTTACAGTTCACAGATGCACATAAAAGCAATCAGCAGTGACTCTGCAGGTTTTGTATGTACAAAGAGCAAACTCAGGGTTTGAAATGGGCTCTTCATGTATCCTTTCATACACTGAGGTTTATGATTAACAAAAGTTTAACAAAGCCATTTCAAGTGAATCAAAACGGGAAAAAAATGGCCAAAATAAAAGGAGGAGACCCACCTCGTGTCACCCGTGTCCTTTTTGAAGGAGAAGCCCAGCAGGGCAATCTTTTTGCCGGTAACAGTGTTGAAGAGACAGTCGATGATCCTGCAGGCAAACCGTCGTCTTTGGTACTCATTCATGTCGATCACCTTACAAAATATAAATAAATAAGCGCTACTGTCACTACTCAGTACCAGATGTACAAGTTGTTTAATTGGAGATAAACCGTTATCTGTTCTGCATTGATTTTGCCACAAAATGGAGCAGCCCATCCACCCTTCTCCAACGGGTGGATGGGCTCTCCCTTAGCCTAAGGCGAAGTGTTCAGTCATTCGGGAGGGGCTCTGACTTCAGCCACTACTCCTCCACATCTAAAGGAGCGTCGCTCTCACCTGCTGCCAATAGGAAGCCACCTCAGGCAGGTTGAGGGCCTCGCACAGATACACCAGATTCAGCACATCCTTCTGGAAACAGCTTCCACCAAAACCTGTACGAGGCATCAGAAACAGCAAAGAGATGAACGGGAAACATTCGTACGTGTTCAGCGGATGTGAAAACAAACAAACTGTCTCTCACCTACGCTGGCTTTAAGGAACTTGTTCCCTATTCTCTGGTCCATGCCGATCGCTTTGGCAACTTCCTCCACGTCAGCTCCAGTGGCCTCGCACAGAGCACTGATACTGTTGATGCTGCTGATTCGCTGTGCCAGGAATGCATTAGCTGCCTGCACACAGACACACAGGAATACTCGTTTAGCTCTGTGATAATCACTTACACACTTTACACACTTTTCATACACCAGGCCACTCAGTGATGACAGAAGGAGACTCACAAATCCAATTAAAAAAGTTTTTTTTTCATCAAATGAACAAAGACCTGAAATTGAGCCGTGGTGTGTGTAATCAATATGATCCGTAGTGCAAGTGAATGCATGAGTCAAGAGATGGTGTATTCAAGGACATTTAGTCCAACAAGCAAACCAAGAAGCCACAGAAATCAAATGTGACTCAGGGCAGGAGAGACGCCCAGCAACTAACTCTAAGAGCTTTTATAGAGCACTGGCACTGGGCGAAGATGTTACTGAATGGAAACATTCAGCCAGAGCGCTTCTCAATTTCCTGCATAAAAGGACCGCTTCACAGACAGACTGAAAGGTAGGGTGGAGTAGATCGTCTCACACACATGAAATAAATAAGTAAATACAACGTATTCTCTAGATGAGTAACAACTAGCTGATTAAAATTGATCATAGAAATTAATTGACAGCACAAAATAAAAGTTGATGTCTTAATAATTTACACAGTTTATTTTCTACAAGCAGAGTTCATCTATCTGACCCTTTTTTTACATGTTTCATATACCCTTCAATATACGGATTAAATAAAGAGCAGCTATTTGGAAACAGATTAATAAACACAAATCTAATCTATGTAGTTTTGATAATTTATTTTTTATTGACTGTTAAATATCAAAAATATTAATCATGAGAGACTGACTGATATTTTCCAAGAAAATTGGCCTTTTTTTTTGCAAACAATTAATAAATTGCTACAACAACCAACAGATTTACGAAACTGTTCTCTGTGGTCGACCTCACCCAGAGGTTCACTCACCAGCTTGGAGAGCTCAGATGACCACGTGTTCGTGGTGATGATGCGCTCCTTGGGGACCCAGTGCTCATATACAGCACACAACGCTCTGATTGCCTTTTGACCTTCAGCAGTCTCATCTCCACCAATCAGGACGCGGTCTGGCTCCTTCAGATCCCGCACCGCCGTTCCTTCTGCGAGGAACTCTGGGTTGGACAGCACCTGAAGCGGCAGCACAACTTTAGAAACAAGCAGCGCAGCAAAGGTCGTAGAGCTTTGTTCACGTGACGGTACGCACTTGCAGGTTGAGGCTGGGTTTGGTGTTGGCGTCAAATATCCGTCTAATGCTCTCGGCGGCGCGCACTGGCACCGTGCTCTTCTCCGTGACAATCTTGTAACCGTCGGACATCTCGACAATGCGCCGGGCGCACGCCTCGATGAACTTCAGGTCAGCCGCGCGACCTTTCCCCATCCCGTAAGTCTTTGTTGGGGTGTTCACCTGGAGAAGGAGTGCAAGGAGAGGTGCAGTTTAATTATGTCAGTGGGCCAAACAAGCAAAAACGGTGTGTGGTGGAGAACCCTAATGAAATTTTGGTCGATCATTATCGGCCTGTGTTGAACTATATATTTGGAACAAGATAGAAACTTAATGCAGAAAGGAGAAAATTGGAAACTGTGTCATTACAGAGCCATTACACATCACAGCTGAGCAGAACGTGTTCTGCATAGCATGTTACATACGTTGCTGAAAAGTTAAATAATAAGGCCACAATCTCCTCTTTTAAATACAACTGAAGACTGACAGACATCTTTCACTTATATTCAACCACCGAATATCCAGGATCAGTTGGGCTCTAGGGCTGTGTGTGTCTGTGTGTGTGTGGAGCCAAATGATGGACTCACAGAGATAAAGACGAGGTCTGCGTCCCTGATAGCCGAGTCTATGTCTGTGGAAAAAAACAAATTTCTTCCTCTGCATGATTCAACCACCTCCTTCAGTCCAGGCTGAAATGGGAGGAAGTGAGAGGCCGTGTTAGTAAGACAGCAGGAGAAATAAACATGAAGAGTGCAACACCAGCTCACAGTGACCACTGACTACTCTTAAACTACTCACGATGATGCAATACACTGTGGTCAGAGTTGACGTAGAAAAGTTGCAACACAGTCTGGAAGTAATTTAGGTTTCATTTTGTCCATGAGGTGGAGCAATGTTTAACAAAAACATTTGCCTGGAACTGTTGCCTGGCTACACCTACTCCTTTAACACTTTAATGAATCTGAACACTTTACTGCTTTTCTGAGATGCTGAATATTAATCTCAAGCTGCGCATATCAGGATAATAGCCTATGACCTACTCCTGCTGGTTAAAGTTTAACCAGATCTCTAATAATTAATCCTGTCCTACTATCCTCAGCGCCACGTTTGTTGTTTTTTTTAATAATGGCACGCTACCTCATAAATGGGCAGAGTGTCAGAATTCCAGGCCTTGATTCGGGACTCATTGACGTCCACAACAGTCACTGTGATTTCCGGGCACATCTGGGCGATGACGCTGCATGTTGGGCCTCCTACGTAACCCGCACCAATGCAACAGATCCTCTTTATTTGAAACATCTGGGGAGGACACAACACAGAGGTATAAAGTTATCAAGTAAACGCACTTCCCTGCAAATAAAGAGATAAAGTACCCTTCAAGCAAGCCTTATTTGTACACATTTCAGGGCCTGCCAACAGCTTATCAGTGGGTTTGCCAGATAAGAAAACAAGAGGGGGTCCCAAGGAGTCCTGGACAGCTTTTGCTCCAAATCAGTTAAAAAACTATTTATAAGGATTTGAAGAGTAATTAGTAATCGATTATCTCACTCATAACTTCAGCTTCATAACAATAGAATCTTTGTCAACAAAATCCTTTTTTAACATTGAATTTGCTATCATGAAAGTCGGTATGTATATGAAAAAACATATGAAAAAACTGTGGCTCAAAGAGTCGAGGACAAACCATTTTAACAGCATCTCAAACATATTTCTAACAGTTTAAACGTTATAGATCCAGTTTCTCTGCAGATGATGACTGGAATATTAGTGCATAAGCAGCAAGTAAAACGCTACCATCCAACTATCAAAATAACAGAAAATTACAGTAATGACTAGTTCCGTCACAGGAAAATAATTGCTTTGCTGATGCCTCAACTTTACAAGTCAGGTAAGCTGATTCCCTGTTACACTCAGAGGGGAGTGGCTCCTCCCAAATAATTAGATTTTCTGTCTAAAAATCCTCCTGCGGGAGTACTTCACCTCCTCGGTGGTGCCGCGGTAATAGTTGCCAGGTGCACCGTTGTAGCCTGGTGGAATATAAAGAGCCTTTTATTGCAGCTCAGCCACGTCAAGCAGAGATGAAAAATGATCCCTTTATCGGTGATGCCTTTCACTTAGTTCGCGTTAGCTGCCCCGCGTTAATGTGGCACATCGACAGGAGAACGATGAAGCTACGTTAAGTTCTGTTCCTTCAAACGGGGAGAACTAAACACGAAAATGAATGAGTGAATGAGTGTTTGTTGTCAGCGGGTTAGCTAACGGTTCGTTACCTCTGCCAGCTCGACACTCTCTGAACTTCAGTAATGCGCAGACTGTGTTAGCTCTTCCGCTAAATGTGTCCTGTCCCGGCGTCAAACCCACAGCCACGGTTCCGTTACACACGACAAATGAAAGCAAACCAGTGCTCGGCGTATAAAAATCACACCAATGAAATCTCTGCTACAACTTTCCTCACCTGGACCTCAACCTAAAGTGAAGCGCTTCTTCGGAGAAACCACTATTTATTTACTGGTCAGACTTCCGGCGTCATACCTTCAAAGTAAAAGCATTTTACACCGTTATATAGAGAGTTGTGGTTAGAAGTTTACAGTCATCATGGACATGAATGTCATGGTAGTTGTTCTTTTTCCGAGATGAAATAATTATATAGTATCCATCTTTCATGACTTAAGACAGCAATTATTCGACTGACCAATTCTCAGAACAATGCAAAGCTCCATGGAACTCAGTGAAGATCTAAAAAGGCGAATCATAGCTTCATAGTCAGGACGGTCTCTTAGAGCCACTTCTAAACAACTGCAGATTCCAGGGTGATTAATTCAAACAATTGTACAAATTATTCAAATGTGTCACCACTTTGCCAAGGTTAGGACGAAAACCCAAACTGTCACCCTCTATATGAGATGAAATTGGTTAGGATGTTCAGCAACAACCCAGAGACCACTAAGAATCAAGCCTGTCGTGAAGAAGAACTGCTGGAATATCAAAGCCCTAACCTCAACCGTGTTGAAAACTACAGTTAAAAGCCAACTTCATGCCAGGAAAGCAACCAATTTAAAGTTGTTTTTTTAAACCATGTTTGGAATTCTGTCAAATAAATGAATGAAGCTTGAAGCATTTCTGAGATGCTGTATTTGAATCTCAAAGGTGAGCATATGACCTACTGCTGCTAGTTAAAGCTTTACCAGATCTCTAACAATTAATCCTGTCTTACTATCCTCATATTAGCTTTTTAGATAATGGTATCATGAATGAGAATTAACGGGACCCATTGACCTCCACAACAGTCACCGTGATCTCTGGGCACATCTGGGCGATGACTCTGCATTTTGGGCCTCCTACATGTCAGTTAATTCACTAATTCCATTTGAGCTGTGAAAATAGGAGCCTGTGTAAAACAATTATTAAATATTTAGTTAAACCCCCAGAATTAAAACAGGAAGTCTGCACCTCAAAATCTACTGTGGTGGTGTACAGAGGCAAAATACAAAAACCTGTCTTCCTCCAAATACTTATAAACATAACTGTGGGTGAGAAATTATTAAGTAATTACTGAAATGCCCTTACAATAATGGCCTGCATTTGTATTTGTATAGCGCAAATGCAGGCCATTTACAATACAAAAAAAAAAGAATCATTTGCAGGTTTGTGAGTTCTTCTTAACCCGAAGACAAAAATAAACATTAAAAGGGAATCAGCAAAAACAACAACAACAACAACAATGTTAACTGCTTTACTGCACATTCTTATGTTAAGCCCTAATTGTCTATTGTTTTATTGAAAATTTTAATTCTAAGTTGTTTTTCCAACTGTAATTTCAATCATAATATGACATTTAATTGGGTGTAACATGTCCTCGAGTGCCTGTAAAGGGCCTTTAAATACATTCATTATTATTATCATTATTATTATTATTATTACATGCTAAAGCATAAACATATTTATAAAAATAATCAAATACAATTTAAAAAAATTAAATACATGACTTTTTCCTTGACATATCACAAAATCATTCTGTCCCACAATTGTTTCCAATTTTGCAAACATCTGAGTTAGAAAACATATAAAAATATAAACACACACTAGATCTGCTGTCTAATACAAAATCATATGAAAGTAGCTGTCAGAGGACAACATACATTACAAAACTTACATTACAAAAACATGTAACATAGCACCAACAGACATTACACGGGTGTTATGTTACATTTTATTCGTCATCTTCGAAACGGTATGGTTTTATTTGGGGGGCTCCATGGTGGAGGTGGGCTGTCTCCGAGTATCTCTTGTATCCGTCTCTCTTCTCTGCGTCTCTTCTGCTCTAGATCTTTTCTTGCCTAAAGAACAACAAGAAAATCTGTGTCACTAGCCACAAGGACAAGGACTGCTCACACCTACAGTATATTCAAAAATACTAGATTTGTACACCTGATAACAACGCCTTATACAACCAGAAATTAAGAAGCCCGTGGGACAGTGGTGTGAACCTCATATTTAACTTAATAAAAGTTCAAATCAATTATATATGTAACGGGTAGTGACAGGGATGATGTGATCTCGTCTCTATAAATTAGTCTGAACATCGAGGCAGAAGATGGACTTCAGGCAGACAAAACAAAGCTCTGAGGCAAAGATCACGCCTATTATGATCTCAAGACACGTGTACAATTTCTTAACTGTGGTCTTGCTGTGAAAGCTCTATGAAATGGAGAGAGTTACTGCGCTACGAGTCACGCACATCCAAGGCAACACAACATAAAACTCAGAGGTCAGGAAATGATTAATCAAAGAGGGAGTAAGCCTGGATATACAATACTGGGCAAAAGTCTTGAGCCATACCTGGTGCAATACCAACAAGCTTGAAAGTCAATATTTCATACGAATACTTTTATTACTGCATGGTGATCCACAAGAAAAAACAAAGAAATCCTCTAAAAATGAGTTCAAAAATGTCCAGCAGACCTTCAGAAAGCCTGGAGATTTATCACTCAACACCAAGTCTGGCTCCTTGGAAGCAAAATATAAACAAATGAGGGATGGATCAACAGTTTTGCACAGTACTGTACATATTTAATTTGAGCTTTATGTGTAAAATGCAGGCTCATTTGGCCAAAAAGTTACACAAACAAAAAATATATTTAGATGCTGATTTAATCTACAATCTATATAACGCAAGGTTCTGATCTTATTAATCTATCACACTTTTTTTTATTTTAAAAACTTTCAGAAAAAATTCTCAGAAACAGAATAAGGTAAAAGCATTAAATCAGAAGAAATTCACTAAATTTTCATTAAAGATATGCTGAAACAGTTGGTTGAACGTTCAGATTTTCCCCTCCTGAGCAGTGAAATCTCAGTCAGTGCCATCTAAGTAGTCACAAAAGAAGAGTTCACACTGGAGCCTGGTCGCGACTGCTAAGCGAGAGACCATCTGTCTCATGAACAAAAAAGCATGCGGCGAGCAGCACCTCAGATACTGATAATAATCATTAATAATTCTACTTACCAGCCAGTTTTCATACACCTCTAAAGCCATTTTATCTCTTTCTTCCTTCATGTATTTCTCCTCCTCCGCTTTATTTTTGATTTCTTTGCGCTCTGACATGAATTTGTCATCGATAACTTCTTTCTTCTTTTCACACCTTAATCATGTTTAAAAAGAGGATTAAAAAATCAGTATACATGACTTTTCTGTGAGGTTTTTAGAAATAAACAGTGGATGAAGATCTGAGCTTTGACTGCCATCTGGTGGGCGATATTTTTCAACCCGGCACCACAGCTGTTACAAGTTTTATTAAACATATATGCACATTTAAATCTACGTATTACCACCACTAAAAGCAAAGCTCAGTCATCTTTTGGATCTGTTGTTCAGACCATTCTGCAAGAAATGAATTCTCAGTGCATCTCTTTTCATCACCTTTAAATAAATGGATTAATAATGAATGATTTCCACTCACCAGTTAGAAAAGGCAGACCTGCTGTCCCTTTTTCTCGCCTCCTCCTGTTCTTTGTTTTTAAGCTTCAATTCATTTTCAGCCTCCTTTTGTTTTCGGTGATTCTCTTTTAGCAGATGATCATGCTCACGTTTCCATTTCTCAAACACCTTTAATTGTTATTAAAATACCAAATTAACCTCACGGATACACACAAGCAATCTCATTATAGGTGTCAGAGTGGTGTATGCTTTTACCTGTTGAGCAGTCTGCCTTTTTTCTTCTTTCTCCTCAGCTGCTTTTTGTTCTTTTCTAATCACAGCTTCCTTCTCTCTTGCCTTAGATTTGAGGCTTTCTGCCTTCTTTTTCTTCCAAGCCTCATAGAACGAAACAGCATCTTCTTTTTTTGCCTCCTCTTCCTGTTTGTTTTTTGAAAAAAATTGAAGAGCATCCATGTAATCTTTAAAGCTTGTAAGGTGCTCTTTAGTTTGTCTAAAACACAGATGACTCACCTTTTCCTTTTTTTCTTTCAACATAGCCTCTTTCTTCTTCAGTTGAATGTTCTGCCTCGACTTTTCCTTCTTCTTTTTGAGCCATTCCTTGTAAAAGTGAGGGTAGATTTTACTGGACTGAGAATGTGCTTTTGATACTCAGAGGCCCTCTTAACACATACACACATTCATTCAAATCTAAATGTTCAATGTGCAGTACATTGTTTTCTCCCAACAACTCACACGATTACGAAACACTCTTTTAATTTAGATTAATAAAACTACTGCTACTCTATATTTAGCTGCATGGTTCCTCGGAGCAGTGCTGAGTAAGGTTTTCATTGTCTTTTCTACACAGACTTTTAACTGTAGATATAAGGGTACATCACAGTGCTTTCCTCCACTGCATGGCTGACAATGTAAAAAAAACTAGAAAAGACAACACCCTCAGTACCACACCGACCTGATAAATGGCAGCTCGGAGGGAATCTGCTTCTTGTGGCTGAGACTCTTGTAAAGAGACTTTACGGTCCAGAACTTTGAGAGATCCCAAATACTTGGACTCCACTTTCCTGGAGCATGCACTCTGAGATCTTGGAGTGGTCTTAGAGTGAGAACTCAAAGTCCTAATTTAAACAAAACAACAACAGAAAGGCCAGCTAAGTGATCAGGTCTGCTTCACACATAGAGCTTTGCTACTGCAGCTTGATTACCAACCTTGCTTCAACAGATTCCTCAGAGACATGAGAGAGATGAGCTGAGGGATCTCCTGAGCATCCCTGGAAGACAACAATGCACAGACTGAGCTCTTAGACTCTTGAAATGGAAGAAACTGGACTTTATTTTGGTTTGTGAAGATGTTTGACCTCTCATCCACAAGGCTTCTTCTATGTGTTCAGTCTGGAATGCAGCATAATGACGCATGCCTTGATTCATACCTTCAGACCCTCATATGACCTTTAATGATTACAAGGTGGGTCAACAACTCTCAGGACCACCTCCAAGAGGACGACCTCGCTATAGGTTAAATACACAGAATTCTCCATCAGTTTTTAGAACATAAGAAGCTTCTTGGATGACATGTGTAACATCTTCACAAACCTACAAAACAGTCCTGTTGCCTCAACTCAAGCGCTTAAGACTACCATCAGCCGAGTGACTGAAAACCCACACAAACTGAAGCTGGAGCTCTCCTCAGAATAAGCTGTGATTCATTAAAAAAAAACTAAACTTCACAGAGACGTTACACAGTGCAGAATATGTCTTACAGTAAATTCTTCAAATGATGTGGAGTAGTTCCTCTCCTGCTCTTTGCTGTCATCAGAAATAAAGCCATCTAAAACAATAAAACAAATATTAAGAGCATTAATTAGACATAAATATTGGTTATTTTCTTTTGACTTTTCAATGATTATTATAATGAGGATTTGTTGATTTTTCTCCCACAGTAGGTTTAAAAAATAATAATTTAAACAACACATTTTTCTAAAGTCTAGATTTTAATGAATATTTTTTGGGTTAAATTTTGCTGCACAAGTCAGTGCATAACTAATCAATAATTGGATGCAAACTCCAATACCTATAAATATAAAAGTATTTTTATTCTCGTCTTCCTTACGATTTGCTAACGTCACACCATATTATCTGTAGTTGTCCTGAATAAAAAGGTTCTGAAGATTTTTTTTATGATCATTACCTTTCGATCCAGAATCAACAGTGGACTTTGTGAGGAGTGCAGACCGTGCACTCTTATTTGAAGAGGGTGAAACTGTGTGGTCTCCTTCTGTCCACTATGATGAAACAACATCACAAACATCCTCTGATTATGAAAAGTTTAATTTTAGTTTGCAGCTTAAAACACTGATTAACAAAGCACAGCTGGGCTGCAGCTCCTTACAGCTATGGTGCCAGATGTATCAGTTGAGAGAGGAATTGATATAGAAGAAGTCTGAGGCCTGCTGAGATCCTCAAGGTCTTCAGCAGGCTTCTCTGAAGTGTGAAAGCTCAATCCGAGGGTCCTTTGCCGGGGTTTGGGTCTTGGTGGCTCCCTCTCTGAAACACTATCTGAATAGTGACAGGTGTAAATCTAAATGTAAAATCTGCACTGATTCCTGATAGCAGTATTGTGTATTAAACTGAACAGACCTGCTGAAGCTGTGTGGTTCAGGTCACATGTTGATAACTGTGAAGTCTGTGAGCGTTCTTCAGCAGTAGAGCCACTCTTTTGCTCTGGCCCTGGAGTTTCCACCACGCTGCTGTCAGATGGTAACGGTAAAGGCATGTCCAGGAGAGTATCGTCTGATGTTTGGTATGACAGAGATTTACTTGAGCTTTCTCTTGTGATCTGAGGATCAGCTGAATCCACACGAGCATTTTTAAACTGTGCGTCATCTGTGGAGCGTTGTGAAGATGCTGACCCATTAGAACTATCACGTGCAGCCGTGTGTGAGTCTAGGGGCTCGTTTTTTTCTTGTGACTCTGACGCAGTGGTGCCGTTGGAGGGAGAGCTGATTCTTTGTGTTTTCAGGAATGAAACTTTCTTTGTCCTCCTGTGTTTGTCTTCATCATCTGAGAGGTCAAAGTTGTTAATGATTTTGGCTTTATTCTTCCCAGCTTTGAGAGAATCTGTCTTCTTTTTTCTTAATTTAACGAGTCTGTTTAAAAAATCTGAAAAACAAAAAGATAAACTGTCAACACACTCTTTGTTGTAGTTTTTTTTTATTTTTATCAATCATCTTCTTCCCTCCCACCCTACCCCTAGCATCCCTTTCTGTCACACCAACCCTCTACATGTCCCCCTTCACTTACATCTAGGCAGCTCTACCTGCAGCATCCTTTATCCAGTGTATTCACTATCCCTCCTGTGCATGTCTTCAAACCATCTCAACCTTCTCTCTAGCTTAGTCTCCTGACAGCCTAACCCAAGCTGTCAATCTCAGTCGCTCCCATTGAAAATCCCAACATCTCCAGCTCTGTCACCTTCAGCTCCACTTCCTGTGTATTTTTCAGTATAACGGTCTCTAAACCACGCATCACAGCAGGTCTTACGTCCATCTTTTAAGCCTTCCCTTTAACCTTCGCTACTATCCCTCTGTAACAAATGAACTACTCCATTCACTTAGAGTCCTTTTTAGATATAATAACGCTTTTTCCTTATACCATCTTCATCTTCTTCGAAGTCGTCAGAGTAGGAGTACTGATCTGTCTTGGCTTTGCTCGCCCTGGCAGAGACAGCAGCCTGGAGTTCATCCTAAAGCGACATAATTTCAGGTTAACATGATTCTCCTTTAATAATCAGGTTTAACTGAGCCGCTCATTTCTTATTTTGTTTAGAAACGGTCCTTACCTGAAATGTTGTTCTTTTAGATGTTTTCGGACTTTTTGAATAAGCAAGAGTCCCGTACTCCTGCTCAGTCATCCTAAAGCTGCAAACAGCTTCCTAAAATGCTAGCTGGGGTTCATTCGCTCGAGCTAATTAGCCTCTAAACACGTTATTAACCTCCCGTGCTGCTCTTCAAGCTTAATAACCTATTCTATACAATTTTTTTTGCCGATGTATAATGATACACGAGACCCTAAAGCCACGCTAGCATACTAAAGATACTGTGGGCTAGCGAAGTTGTTGATGGTAACCCAGGGAAACAGACGGACAGTTCCGCTTTAGCACTGCGCATGCTCAGAAGACTTGTTTCGGAAGGAATATATTTGTTTATTTAATTATTAAAAAGTCTAAACTATTGTGTTCAGTGCTTGAGTGACATGATTCATAGTTTTATAGTCCAAAGTTTATCTAAAAGTAGGAAGAAGGCTAATTAGAGATAGACTATTTAAAACCTTCCTGCCGTGTTCGGGTCAAATCTGACCGATTTACAAATGTAAAAACTCATAACTGTTTTTTTTTACATCCGATTTCCTCGAGGACTTGTGGCATCCTCCACACTATGCACTTGAACGTCTAAAAGTGATGAGCACCTCTTTCGTTGAATTTTGAGTTTTTTAGGAAATGAATGGGAATCCACCCCTCACGCCCCTTTGGCCTCTGACCCCCTGAATGGCTCACTGAATGGCCAAGTGAATGACCACTGAACGACCTACTGACCCACCCACTGAACTGAATCTGGTGGTGAAAAATGTTTCTTATGTTAATTTAAGAGCTGTTAAAACTGACTGGTCACTTGTGACTGGAACACTACAGTAATTCAATTCAATTCAATTTTATTTATATAGCGCCAAATCACAACAAA